AGATGAACCGGTGATTCAAACAGATGGGAAGCGCCGCGTTCTGGCTGTCTTGCCTTTTGCAGGATTTATAAGACAGGAGAGGAAAAAACTGAATAGGTGCCATTTAAAGTAAAAATGTCAAGGTATTCAGAAGATGCTCCCTGGTGTGAGTTGGCTTTTCTGCTCTGCCCGTGGCTGCCAGAGCTGCTGACGTGATGAGCTGCTTTCCATTGCACCCGTGCTGCTGCAACTGCTTTAGAGTCTGCAGGACGAAGCTGGCAGGCCTGCTTGGTGGGAGGTAATACCTGTACATGCTGCAAGAACCTCTTTACCAACTACAGCCCTTAGCATCTCACCTGGAGATGTCACCAGCTGGTGCTCTCCTTGCTCTCTTCCTGCTTGGGGGTGGAAGAAGTGGTACCATCATTGCCTTTTCCTGCAAAGATGCACTGTGGGAACTCAAATTATCATGTGTGGAAACACCACAAACCACACACTTTTCAGCAGAGTTTGTGGTTGCCCCAGTGCTCGGCTTGGACCATGGCTGTTCCCACCACAGTGAGGCAGAGAAAAATGTCAACATGGACCCTACTGACTCATGGACAAGGTGGCTTGTGCCTCCTTGCAACTTCAGGGGCGAGGGTTGTTCAGCCAGCCCAGGGGTAAATAGCCTGTGGTCACCTCATGGTAATCACAGCAAAGTCTTTCCTAGCATACACCTCTGTCATCCCAAACACTTAGTAAGTCTTAGGTATTTATGTCCCCAGGAAATGGAGGAATGTGATTCAGGCAGTTCAGGGGCCTGGATGACATTGGTGTTTGTTTGGTGTGGTTGCAACCAGGGAAATTTTGGTTGCTTCTTAATTCCGGTCTCTCCCAGGGATGTGTAATGGGATGAAACTGCCCCAGCTACAGAACATGGAACTGGAAACCTGGTGCTCTGCCATTCCCCACTTTCTAAATTAACCATTTGTCTATGAGATTGCCAGGAAGTTTGGTTCTGGCTTTCCCATGGGGAATTCATTTCGGTTTATTTCCTTAGTTCTTTTGAAAAGAACATTTTCTGTTACAAGGCTCATGATGAAAGAGGAAAAAGAAAAGTTGCATGAAAGAATGAAAGAGTTAATATCAGAAAATGGAGCAAACTGATTCTTTTCTCTGTTGCTAAACAAAGCAAAAATATCTCTTTTTTTTTTTTTATTCCCCCTCACCCTGATTCAGTCAGGAATTGGACTAGAAATATTTTGCTCTGGTCCCACTGTGAGAAATGCCTCTGAGATTGCGACCAGCAGTCCAAAGCCCAGCTGGGTGGCTTCTACTCTGGCTAGAGAGGGACTTGCCCATTGGGGCAAACAGGCCTTGCAGAAGGTTTCCCTGTGTCCTCCTGCACCATGTTTTGGAAGGAGGCCGAGCCCGAAGAGGTGTTTGGAGTTCATCATGAAGACGCCCAAGACAGGGGCCCGTCTTTGAGACCATGGTAGGTTTTGGGGTGGGCTGGGTCTACCTGGCACAGAGGAGGACTGTGAGGGGTGGTGTGGAGCAGGAAGGGCTAAGCACTGGGGTACCAGATGTGATGAGTTTTGCCAAGCTCGAGGACTCAGCTGTGCTGGTATCTTCCAGAGAAAGGAGTGTTCTTTGTAGGCACATGTCCACAACTTCCAGGACATGACGGCATAGCATTAGGCTGAAGGATTGCAACGTGCTTTTGAGTCAGCCTCCAAACTCCTAGCAAAGGGCTGGACAGGTATCAGCTGAATTTCTGCAAAATTACCCTGTACTTTTCTAAGGAAACAGCAGCTGAATGCCCGGGGGATACTATCGGTTAACCCTGATTTAACGCTGTCCTGGAAAAGGCAGAATAAAATTCCCTTGAAACTATGTGAATCCAAGATTACAGTCATATTAAACATCCCCGAAAACACAGCTGGTCTGGATGGGATATTTTGCCCAGTAACAGCCCTCCAGACCTCTAGAGCTAAGGGCAAAGGCACTGGGTAGGGAATCCCTCTCCTGGTTGTGACAGCCCGGTCACTGCACGCTGCTCGGGAGTCCCTGCTTTGCCTGACTCCCCGCGCCGCTTGCAGGGGCTGTGGGACGGTGCTCTGAGGTGCTGGGGAGCGGGTGCAGCTGGGCCTGGTGGGCTGCAGCTGTGCTGAGCTGTGCATGGCCAGGAGATGCTGTGCACACGCCATGACATTATCATTAAGTTTTTACTGGCGCTGATGACTCGCCTCCAGCTCATGATCTGTTGCACAGCAAGCAGGCAGTTTTTAAGATGGATGTGCTTCCCTTTCCCCTCCCTGGGGGATGTGGGGAAGAACCCTCTAATAGGAGAGAAGAGAAGGAGGAGTAAGGAGGTAAATTTCACTGATTTTCAGAGTACCATGCTGCCTCAGCTGAGGTCTCTTCCCAAAGTGCCCCTTACTGATTCTAAATGCCCGGGTGAGCTCCATGGCTATCTCCAAGGAGGTGTCTTAGCTGTAGCACAAGATGAGGAGTTCTGCACCTCAGAATTGTCCCTTAGGAAAGGGAAGGGATATGGGCAGGGAGCCCCAAGCCGTGTGGCGGTCATACCCTGCTCTCATGCTTCTCCTGTAACTTCACGCAGCAGGAAGTGGCCCACAGACATGCTTCATCTCTGGGAGAACATTTCCAGTTAGTTCAAACATCTTCAGGGATGTTTGAGAGATAAGATGACTTGAACATTTACCTGTCAGTACCTTCACCTGCTGGTGCCACCATCATAGTTCTGAAAAGCTCCCCCATCTCTGTGAGCCTTGTTGACTTTGTAGACTGCTCAGGTTTGCACTGATATTAAAAGCTAACAGGAGTCTAGGGCTCTCCACAGACTCTTCTTACAGATCTCCTCCACTTCCCCAAGGAAGCAAAGGGTCTATGGGATATCTGTTCCCACCATGGGAATTCTCCCTCTGGTCCAGCCTGATGAAATCAGAGAACAGAGTGAAACAGTGGTGTGGTGCCCAATATGGGAGGCTGGGCCTGGAAGGCATGTTGTTCCTTCCCATCTTTGGCAGCATGGAGAAACTTTGGGAATGGAGCCACAGAGACTCCCCAGCAGTAGTCCTGCCCCAGCTTGAGACCACCAGCTTCTCCTCTTTCTTTTTCTTTAACTTCAGTTTGTACATACGCGCTTAAATTGCTCTACTCATGTTTTCAAGAAGGGATTCAACATGAAAAAGTGTCTGTTGTTCTGTTTTGGTTATTAGGTTTCATTTTAGCAGTGTCTGTTGTTTTCTTCCACTGATTTTTGGTAGTGTTGCTTATTCAGAGAGTCATTATCTGATAGATCTGCCTCAGTTTGTGGACGGCTCCTCCACTAATACAATTTCAAATCAGTAGTACAGCTTTATTTAATGCTAACTGAAGATCTCAGCTTGAGACTTCTTTCCACATCCATTCTTTTCTGAATCACTTGTACAAGGAGATTGTCATGTGGTTTTGTGTGTGAAAGATGGATATACTGCTACATTTTTGTGCTTAGGAATGGTGGGAGGTGGATGCTTTCTCTAGCAGGAGAATTTGGGAATATATAAACATGACTTCCAGGGAATGATGCAATCCTGAAGTGGATCTTCATATGAATATAAAGGGGTGGAATCACAATGCTGCAGGGAAAAGAAATTATTCTGCACTGTGGAGAAGGGTGATGATTCCGTGCTGGTGTGACATGGGTATGACCTGAGTCCTCCCATACCTAAGAGAAGAAATGGTCTCAACTGAATTATATGAGGTGAGATTGCAAGACCCATTGGAAAATTACGTAGAAGACCAGATATGCATTGCAAAGTTTTCTCTTAAATGGGATATTTGAAGAAGCTGCTCTGTGCTGGAGTTAATGCCTGTGGGGACATTTACAATCAGCAGTAATGTCGTGCAGAGAGTAAACACCTTACTCTGTGTGAAAGGAAGGGGCTTAAGAGTTTACCCCTTCCGCCACCTCTTTTTTCTTGAGTATTTGACCCTTCTTTGTGATGCTGGCATTCAGATTTCTCCCAGGGACAGTTAATGGATGGCTATGCAGTGACTAGAGAAAAGTGCAGGGAAAAGGGCAGGGAAAATAATCTGAAAGATGAAGTGGTAGGTAGTTTCCAGTGAGTGTGGAAACCCTTCTTTGAGAGGTTGTGCAGAAACCTGTGGTGGAAAATCTTCACGCAAACACATTAGCAGGAGCATAAGTACGGACAAAGCTGAGAAGTGATAAAAACAGCGTGGGAGAGCACCTATCTCCAAGGCTACCTACAGCCTTTGGGCTTCAGCTTCTACCTCCTGGTCTTGGCAGCTCTTTTCCCCTGTCTCTGCTAGAGATCTAGCTCTCAATCTCTGTGTGCGCTGCAGGGAGTGGGTTACGGTCTGTGCTGAGGTGGTGGTCCCTGGGTTAAGATGCATCAAAGATGACAAAGATGGGTCATCATTCAGGCCAGCAACTGCCTCTCCCCCTCCCCTGCGTCTTCACAGAGCAGAAGCCCAATCTCCTGCTGGCAGCTGGCCAGCAGCCCTGGCCCTGTCCACAGAGTGGACTATCTGCACCCTTCACTAGGTGTCCCAAGCTCTCTCCCAGCTCCATCCTGCATCACTGGCCATGTGCAGACCAGGCTGGTCCCAAAAGGTGTTTCTGGTGAATGGTGTGCGGAGGTGTCCTTTGTTAGGCTTTGCTAAGCTTGCAGCGCTCCCGCTTTCTCTGTAAGGAGTTCCCCATCTCTGGGGCATCAGCAGTTCGGGTGCAGGTGCAGGAATCAGGGGTGCTGGTGCAGGTACGGTGACATCCGGGGAAAAGAATAACCAAAAAAGCCTCATTCGTTTCTGACTAACAGCTGACATCCCTGATCCCTCCCTCTGTTCTCAGACCGAAAAAATCTCCTCCTCACCCTAGCATTCTCTTCCTTCTACACAGAAACCAAGGAGAAAGCAATAAAAAATTCTTCAGTGACTCCTTCCTCTGGATTGTGGCCTCTCTTCAATAAGAGTTTCTCCTTCCCTTTTTTGTTTTCCCCCCAAATCCAACTAAATGGTCATCTGAAGCAAGCGAAAATGAGGCTGCAAAACTTTTTATTCACTTTGCTACTTCAAGTCTGTTTCCTGAAGGGAGGCTTGTGGGCTCAGCGCACGGAAATCGACAGTCGAGTCGCAAATGCTCAAGGTAAGCCTGGGCCACCCTCCAAGGTGTTTTACTGCTTTCCATCCATCCTGAGATTAGCGGATGAAAACCCGGCTGCCGTTTCGCTCTCTGCATGGCTGAGCTGGGCTGTATTTTGCTGTTGCAGCTTTGTCAGGAAGTTTTGGAGTGCAGTAGCATTTCCAGTGCAGGGCAATGTGTGTTTGAAGAGTGTTTGCTTGATGCACCTACCTATCTTTAAGGTTTTTTTCTGCTTCTCCTTGGCTCTTACTTACCAGGTGTGTAGTTATTGGGACCTGGGGTGCAGAAGGGGAGGATGACAGACAGCTGCTATCGGCTTAGCTTTGCGAAAGAGTTTGATTTTTGTCACCGGCTACTAAGTGCTATTTTATTTTTGCTCTCCTTTACAGTAATATTTATGCCAAGATGTTTTGGAAAATCATTAATTTATTGTTTTGTTCATTGTTATTATGTATTGTTAGGGGGGATTCAAGTTGTTGCTGTAGCTGCATGTTATATTAAATGATACTGGTCTCACAGAGAAGCCCTTTGAATGTAAAGGGGAAAAAATACATAGGAAGCTGTTAAATGCAACAAACTGATATTTTCTGAATGCATGCTCAGGTATAATCCTGTTTATTCTTAATGGCAAGGTGGAAATGCCATGGGAGAGTGAGCTCAGCTATACATGCATGCCTGCATGCCCTCACCAGGGATGGTTATTTGAAAGAAGTCCTCTTAATGCAAAGCCTCCGAGCGCAGCAGGAAGGGACCTGGATTGCAGAAGTGCTTTGGCGAGTGCACGCCAGCCCCATGCAGCCTGGGCCGGGGTGTGCAGCGGGCGATGGTGTTGGGGGGACGCCCTGTGACTCCTCCGTCTCTGCGCTTGTCCTCAGACTGCCCCGTGGACCTGTTTTTTGTGCTGGATACCTCGGAAAGCGTCGCCTTAAGGGTGAAGCCCTTTGGGGACCTGGTCACACAAGTGAAAGACTTCACCAACCGGTTCATTGATAAGTTGACAGACAGGTAACTCTTTTTGCTGCTTTTTTAATTTTTATTTTCTGTGGCTGCAAGAGACAAGGCAAGCATGGGGAAGGGCCTTGGGCATGACGGGATGCCCCAGCAGAGATGGGAGGAAAGCAGGGCTGCCCAGGGGATGTGTGGGGGCATCTCCTCCCTCTCCTCCCTGCGCCTGCCCTATTCCTGCTCCGGCTGCTCTGAAGGCGGCAGTGTGCCTTAAGCAATCCTGTCCGTGCCCGCCCCCAGGAAAGCAAGGGCTTCCTTGGAGCTACAGGAATGGCTTCCCTACCCGGACAGGGGTGCAGGCCTTGGGGCAGGTGAGGGGTGCCCCTGTTTGGAGATGGAGCTCCCAGGGCAGGCAGAGAACCTGTGGTGGGGCTTTGGGCCTGCTGGTGAACCGTTTCTGGCAACAGAGTATGTCAGAGGTGCTTCTCAAGATGCGATGGAGCCGGATGCAGTGCTCTGACCCATTCAGCTGCTCCCCTCCCATCCCAAATGCGGATGCCCTGTGGCCCCCCAGTTAGGAAGCCTCTGGATGCCTGGCTGCATCCTCGTACCAGGGAGCTCTGTGCTAAGACCTGACCCATCAGCCTGGCAGCTCCCTCCTCTGGATGCTGTTTTGCAAGCTTCTCCAGGCAGGCGGAAAAGAGTGCTGGTGCCCAAATGTGCAGCTGGGAGGATGTCCTGATGCTATGAGCACCAAAAGGGGAAAAGGCCCTTTCCTCAGGATGGGTGACAGGCAATGTGCATTTTGCCTGCCCTTTGTGTAGGCATAAAGACTATGGTACAAGACATCATTTGACCAGGAGCCTTGTACTTTGAAGTAATCTGCTGGGACTCTATCATCACAGCTTGGCACTTAAATAAGGCACTTGGTTTCAGATAGAGCCCCTGCAGCATGCAGGCAGGCAGACCGACTTCCCAAGCATGTCCCAAACACCTCCAGGCCTGCCCTGCAGCTCTTCATCTCTTCCAGAGAAGTCACCCTGCCATCTATGATGACGCACATGGTGCTGCCCAGCATCTGGCGTGTGCAGTGCTGCAGGTGGCATGAGGTGGTGGCAATGGGTCTGGTTGTGGCAAACAGCCAGGAGAGTGTAGGGAAGGTTGTGGGGGGATACTCACAGGGAAAAGCTGTTGCAAAGTACAGAGAAGCTGATTTTGGAGGAGTGAGGGGGTTTCGTCCAGGCTCTATGGGAGGCTATTCAGCCTCATCCATTCAGAACTGGTCCCAGCCTCCCAGCATCCTGAAAAGACCCATTTTTAGGCACTAGGTATGACCCCAGGCTGAGGCATTTGGAAGTAGCAATGCCTCTGTCCTGCAGACACGTACCCATGTACTAGTAAGCACAGGCTCCCTTGGTGCTACAAAGCAAACCCAGATCAGCCTTCAGAGGAGGGCTTCAAGGCACTGCTCGTCCCTGTAAGTGTGAGCATCTTTTGGAGGGAGACATTCCATGTTAATTTTAACGTGTCCAGGAATTAAAAATTCATTACAACCTCCCTGGAAATGCTGTATCAGTGGCCACCTATCTTGAACATACGTACCTTATTGTCTGTATGAAAGTCTGCTGCTCAGTTCCAACCACTGCAGTTCACCATCCCTTTGGGGAGCCTCTCTGCCAAAGCATCTGGCCCTTGGGGGTGTCTATCACCTGTCCTTCACTCCTCCACCTGCTCTGGACAAGCCAACCAGCTCTCACAGCTGGAATTTGCACTTAAAGCATATCCCAGCCTCGTCAGGTTGCCATGTCCGACGTGTGCCGAGGCACGAGGGTTTGACTTGCAGGAAAGCAGTGAGCCCTCGTAAAGTCCTGCTATACTTGTGTGAGGAATTGCATTTTGCCTTGTGAGCTGGTGCAAGTGAAGCAGAGCCAGAGGTATGTGGCAGGGCCCAGGCAAGGGCCGGGCCTGTCCAGATGTACTGAAAGCTTATATCCTTGCCTGTCCATGCAGGTACTACCGTTGTGACCGAAACTTGGTGTGGAACGCAGGGGCGCTGCATTACAGTGACGAGGTTGTGCTCATTAAGAGCCTCACCTCGATGCCCAGCGGCAGGAACGAGCTGAAGAACCGAGTGTCAGCCGTGAACTACATTGGGAAGGGCACATACACGGACTGTGCCATCAAGCGAGGCATTGAGGAACTGCTCATTGGGTAAGGCGGCAGGCCACCTCGGTGCCGTGGCTAGGCATGCCCGGGGAGATGGATGGGGTAATTCCAGTAGCAACACTGTGATGGATGGAGGTTAGGAGCTCTTGGAGAGCTGTGCACCAGGCAGAGCCCTGTGCTCTAGGCTGAGCTGTCCCCACACAAGAGGTGGTGGTCACTTGGATACTAAACAGATGCCAGAGTGACAGGCTGCTGGTGCTCCAGCTTGGCTGGGATGGGGGTCTGTTGGTGTGCTGCTTGGGGTGAGTGTCTTGAGGTGCCCAAGCTGCCTCTCTTGGGCTAAGTGTGTGCGCTAAACCCTTACAGCGGCTCCCATCACAAGGAGAATAAATACCTGATCGTGGTAACTGATGGACACCCCTTGGAAGGGTACAAGGAGCCTTGTGGGGGCCTGGATGATGCTGCCAATGAAGCCAAACATCTAGGAATCAAAGTCTTCTCTGTTGCCATTTCTCCCAACCATCTGGTACGATCATGCGGGCCGGATGCTCCCTGCAGTACTCACGTGGTGTTATGTCCCAGGTGGTCCCACAAGACCACCAACACAGTATCAGCTGGTGCAAAGGAGAGGCTGAATGCCCCAAGCGCAGCAGCTGTATTCAGTGATGAAGGGTCACACAGCATAGCTGGCTAGTGGGGCCCTGAAGCTCCAGGAAGGCCACAATGTGGGAAGGTGATAAGGGGTGGAGGGAGGGTGCAGCTCTCCAAGGTGTCCTATGGAAACCCAACCCTGATGTATTGCCCCGGGAAGGTCCCAGCTGGGTGCCTGCAGGTCTCACTCTGCCTCTCCACCCCAGGATCAGCGGCTCAACATCATTGCCACAGATCATACCTACCGTCGCAACTTCACTGCCACCAGCCTGAAGCCAACCCGGGAGCTTGATGTGGAGGAAACCATAAACACCATCATCAACATGATTGTAAGCATCACCTGCTCCCATCCCCTCTGCAGCTTGCCCCTTCCTGGGCTTGCTTGTCCCTCACAAACCCCTATTCTCTGCTTTTTGTCTTGCAGAAAGATAATGTGGAGCAAGTGGTGAGTGTGCCCTGGTCACAGCAGGAACCCCACTTCCTCATGGCAGGCACCATCCTTGGTGCCTGAGCTGATGCTCTGCCCCAGCATGGGGAGGCAATGCCTCCCTGCCCTTGTGCAGGTTGTTCTGGGCTCCGCAGGGGCTCCATGGGTTTATCCCCTTGCCAGTCTGAGCATCTGCTCCCTGTGTTTCCCATTGCCTCTAATGCTGTTTTTTCCTTCTCTCTGGACAGTGCTGCTCCTTTGAGTGCCAGGTGAGTTGGACATTTGAGGCCTTCTATTCCCTCTCCTTGTGTTCCCTCCATCCCAGGCTGTGTCTCTGTCCCTGATCTAATCCATGCTTCTCTCCTGCCCTCTTGCAGCCTCCCAGAGGACCCCCTGGACCTCCTGGTGACCCAGGCAATGAGGTAAGGAAATAGCCACCAGTCATGGCTGTTCTGCTGGGGAATTTAGGCAGTAGGGCTGGGTTCATCAAGAGTGCTCCAGCATCGGAGAGGAACCCATGGCCTCTCCTTAGCCTCAATGAGCATGAGGAAGAGGATGGCTCTCCTTCCCAGCCAGCCACTGGGCAGATTTCCAGAGAGCCCGGGGTGGGGTGCAGGACCTCAGTGCCCTGGCACTGCACCCCGGTGATGTGGGTGTGGATTCGCTATGCACTTCCGTGTACCTTTGTCAAGGCAGCTGCCTATCTTTTCCTTCCTGTGCATACAGAGCACTGATGCTAAGACTGTGTCTCCCCACTTCTGCCCAGAAGACCATCATTTTATGCCCTAGGGTGATAGACTAACTTTTTTTTCTGTCTTGTGTTTCAGGGAGAAAGAGGCAAGCCGGGTCTTCCTGGCCAAAAAGGAGATGCTGGAGATCCAGTAAGTAATCTGTTCAAGTGCTCCAGAAATGTTTTATTCGGAGCACTCTGCCTTTTGGCTGGAGTTCACCAATGCATCCTCAGTACCTGAGCAACCATGCAGTGTGGGATGGGATGGGCACCTGGTTGAGGGCTGCAGCAGGGCCTGCCAACCAGCACCTTGCATGGCCAAGGTGGCCCTAGGACTCCTCTCTCACTCCAGCTTTGCACTTCCCTCACTGTCCACTGTGGGATGACAGCTTTGCCCCTACGTCGCTACCTTTCCATGGGATGCATGGTGGGATTGCAGCCAGTCCCTCCAGGGATGGGAGGGATGATGTTGAGGCATCTCCACCCCAAGGCTGTATCCACCCCACTGACTGGAGGCTGCTGGTCCTCTCTTCTCCCTGGTGGGCAGCAGTGCGGGCAGAGCAGGGCAGACCTGCTTCTCCATCACTACAAGGCTTCCTTGTTCCTCACCCAAAATAGCCACTCTTTCTGGAGGGCACTGCTGTGACTCATGTGTGCTGGCATGAGCATGAATTCTAGACTCCCTTTTGTGCCCTCTGCCACTACAAGCACAGCAGTGTTGCAGGGAAGCCTTTGGTAAATAATAAACTAATAGTATGAAGAAATTTTTTCTTTCCTCCACCCTTTTTTACTAGGTACATTTATTTTGGGAGGTGCATTTCTCCTGTGCATATAAGTGCAGTTAGTCAGTGTATGTGCTCTCAATTTGGAAACCCCATGACATGAACCTTTTCTTCTTTTTTTCTTCCTAAGTGTTTTCTGCCCTCCACATCCATCTGCGATGATGTGCCCCACGCTCATAGTTTCCCTCACCCTGAGGAAGGGCTAGGTTATTGGTCTGGGAGGGACAGGAGATGAACACAGGTCCCTCTGCCACCCACAGTAATGCAATGTTCCCGGCCTCCTATGCGCTGGAGGCGGGAGCAAGCAGGGGGCCGTGGCTGGAGTCCAACCCAGCAGCAGTTTGCACCAAGACCCTGCATGCCTCTGGCTGGAATAATAAACTTGACCTACTTCTCCGCTGTGTTTTTGACTAAATTGCAAGCTGCCACCATCGGCGTGTGAGTATTATGAGAGGGACAAAAGCACAACCCAACAGGACGACCTTTTTGAGAGGCAATGCAGAACCATGTTTCAAAATCTGTCCGTTAAAAAGTGGGGGTCAGTTGCAGACCGAGGGACAGGGGGAATCTGCCCCCATAGGGATGGGAGCTTGTGCCCAGCTGCTGCTGGTATCTGCCTTTGTAACACTGTATTTCTATCCTCCAGGGCAGGCCAGGTGACATGGGTCCTGTTGGCTACCAAGGAATGAAGGTACTTGATGCTTTGGGCTGTGGGCATTTCTAGGTAAGCTGCAGGCTCCAAAGTACCATTTTTCATACTTTTTTTCTTTCTTTCATCTCTAGGGTGACAAAGGAACTCGAGGAGAAAAGGTGAGGGTGGCAAGGACGTGCTGAGGGCCTCTCCAAGACCCTCTGCCCACTTGGCCCTGCTTGTCTTGCTGTGCCTGGAGCAGCTGTCGGGCTGGCTGGCCCCGTGTGGCTGGATGGCATGGAGGTCAGGCCCACATCCGCACATGTGTGCACGCACGTTCCTCCTGCCCAGCCTGGTGGCCACTGCATCTTGGATCCCTTTTGGCACTCTCCACACCAGGAGAGAAGGGGGGTCTGGTAAGGGCAGCCTCAGGGAGTCCATCCATGTGCTGCAAGACCAGCAGCATGTGAAGTCCTGCCCCTTCCAACTGAGCTGGCATGGGGACAGCAGTGCACCAGTGGGATGAATCCTCTCTGCATTGGGGGCCTGACTTCTCTCTCTTCCCCTTCACAGGGCTCAAGAGGAGCCAAGGGAGCCAAGGTCAGCTTCTGGCTTTGTACCATTTATTCTTTCACATTGATGCTCAGCAGTGGGGGAAAGGGCTTTTGGAAATCCCTTCTTCACAGTGTCTTGTCTCCATTTCAGGGTGAGAAGGGCAGGCGTGGAATCGATGGCATCGATGGCATGAAGGTAAATCCCTGTTCTGGGGCACTTTGCTATCCTGAAGATGCTGGATTTTGCACAGACACTGCTCCAAAACCATTTTGGTGTCCTGGAACTAAAGCCCATGCAACCCACTACAGTGGGGTTCCCTCACTGTGGGGCCCTCTACCAGCCAGGAACAGGGTTGGGAGCACCCCTCCTTTGGTCCTGGGACCTATGGACAGGGGCTTCTCAGACACTGCTCATGGAGATGCTCATTTTATCTTTCTAACAGGGTGAAGCTGGATATCCTGGTTTACCTGGCTGCAAAGGCTCACCAGGATTTGATGTACGTACTCCCTGGAGTCAACTTTTGTTCAAATGAATGAGTGCATCCCACTGGAAAGCTATTCCTATGGTCTGCAATTGTGGGGATCACCCAAGGAAGGGAGTTGTGGCCAAGGAATAGCTAATTGCCATACTTGGAAATATGCCTATGCATAGGCAATACTCATCCCAGGCACAGCACCTCTGAGGGATCACCAGAACAGGCTTTCCTGTCCTTGCTATGATGTTTTCCCCACTAGTCTGCACTGTGCTGGGAGCGTGTTTGGCTGAGGGGCAATCAGGGGAATGCCAGATAGGCAAAACTAAGGTTAACGAATTCCAGCCGGCTGTGCCCAGCCGCTATACAAACAGCTCTTCTGGAGAGCCTGGTAATGGCTTTGCTCTCAAGAAGCCAAGCAAGGGAAGGAAAATCCTAGAAGCTGAATCACTATAAGACCCAGTAAGTAAAATTCTGTCTATGTTAAATCTTGTAGCTTTTATACCCATGTGTTGCAGTGGGTGTTTTCTGCCCTTGTATCAATAAAAAGACCTTCTGCCTCTCTGCAAGTAGGCTTGAAGCACCAGAGCTACTTGTTTATGGTCTGTGCTATGCAGAAGGCAAGAAGAGAGGCTCTCAGGCTTCCTTCTGGCATTAGACTTGGGGATCTGTGACTTGTGAATAAAGATGCTCATGTGCATATAAAATGACAAGCACAGACCCAATCTTTGCAAGTTAGATTTCCTAAATTTGGATACCTCATTGAAAAAATATTAACCTGAAATAAGGCATGATCCTACCCCCTAGAATACAATATAAGGATAATATAAGAATACAAAAAAGGATATTCAATCACCCTTTTATGTTAAATTGTGCATTGTTTGTCAAGAGCAGACAAAGAGGGCGGCACAGATAACCACTGAGTCCTTCCTTGAGTCTTGGAAATGGGTCATCCCACACTAATTAGAAAAGCAGTGAGAGCTTTTGGAGGGCTCTGGACACCATTCTTCTGAAATTACATTCCTTCAGTTTTGCCTCCTCATTTCTTCTGGAAGGGGGCATCTTTTTTCTGTGCCTGTTTTCCTGTGGGTAGTGACACTGTCTTGGTTTTCAACAGGGAGTTCAAGGTCCACCTGGACCCAAGGGAGATCCTGGTGCCTATGGACCAAAGGGACAAAAGGTAAGCCATGGGGCACCCACGATACATGCCTCCTCCCTCCCTCTCCTCAGTGTGATGGACCAGTGCAGGGGTAGTGGAAACTCTTGCCCGAGTAGGAAGATGCTCCTCACCCCCTCTGCAGATGGTGAAAGCACAACAGACCTGTACAGGAGAGATGGATGCTCTGGATTTAGGGGCACAATCAAGAGCAGTCAATCCATTTCTTTGTGCTGGAAAGTGGCTTCTGCAGAAGAGCAGTCTGCATTGGGCCAGTGGGTTGGTGAAGATGCTGGGATTGGGGAACAGTCCAGGGAAATGCTGCCCAGGCAGGGTGGCCAGGGAGAGACTGCAGGCTGGGTAAAAGTAAAGGCATTTTGTGGCAAGTTTTGGCTCCTGACAGTATAAATAGCATGGGATCCATCCTTCAGTACTGACCAAAGTCTTAATGGCACCTTGTATCCTTGTCAAGGGGGAACCTGGAGAAGATGGAAAACCTGGCCGACAGGGGATCCCTGGAAGTCCTGGGGAGAAGGTTGGTGAAATGTCTGTGCATGCCTTGTCCTCGGCTTTGCCTAACTCCAACAGAGCTCCAAGACAAGATATACCTGCTGCCCCACTGCTTCCCCAGGATGCTACCAGTCCCAGAAGGTGTTGGCAGCATCCCTTGGCGCTCTCAATATGTGAGGAGCCCCAAGCCCTGCTTTGCAGGCAGGGGGAGAGATGCTCACTCCAGCCATAGCTTTAAAACAGAGTCTGCCCAAGGCTAAATTGTGCTGTGCTCTGTTAGCACATGAGGCTTTGCTCTAAAGCCTGCTTATCTGTCTTGTCTGAACCTCTGTGATTTCCTTATGCAGGGTGCACCTGGCAACATTGGTGAACCTGGACCGACAGGAGAAACAGGAGATGAGGTGAGTCCTCTACATGTACCAGTGGTTGTCCCCTGTGTTGGCAGTCCTTAGAGCCTTCTATTTTTTTGCAGGGCTCTCCAGGTGCAGATGGTCCAACTGGAGAACGGGTGAGTAAGACAGTCCTGCTGCTGGGCACCTTGCAGGCAAGGCAGGGGCGAGAGCTGGCAGGGCTTATCCCTGTGCTTGTGAGCTGCATATTGCATCAAAAAGAGCAGCTGGGCGAACAGTGCTGGGGCAGAACTCATGGAGATGGGAGCTTCGAGGGAGGGTTTTACCCTCAGCATGGTCATCTTATGCCCGTGCAGGAGTGGGCAGGGGAGCACAGACCTGATGGAAGGCAGCTCCTGAATTCACATTTCCATCATCTCCTTGCAGGGAGGCAACGGAGAAAGAGGCGCCCCAGGATCTCCTGGTGACCGTGGGCCCAGAGGAGAGCCGGTAACTGCATCCACCGAGCAGCTTCTGGCATTTGTCTGCGAATAGGAGCATGTTAGGCAGCAAGGAGCTAGAAATGGGTGCTCGGTGACTAACGCATCAGTCTGCAGGCCAACTTGACAGCACTTGGCAAACATCCAGGTGTACTTTCTGAGTGCCCCTAGCAAGCACAGTGTATGGGGACAGCGGGGCTTGGAGGGACCAGATTCAGCAAGCCTAGCACATGCATCTCCATCATTGGGACTATCAAGTAGTGGTTTGCTGGTCCTGGAGAGCAGAAGCTAAGCCTGGGCAGCCAGCCTGCCACAGGCTTCCACACGGGATGCATTAGGCCCCTGGATCTTTGGCACCAGGGTGAGGAATATTCTGCCTTCACCCAAGGAGGACAACCATGGGTTGCCTGCAGAGGCAGGGCCTGGGAGAAGGGGAGCCGAGCAAAATCCACCTTGCTCTGGTCATTAGAGACTGGAAAGACATGGCTGCTGTTCTGATCCAGGAGGTAAGCTCAGTGCTTCAGTGCCATCCTGAGAGAGCCCTGATACTGCCCTCTGTAATTGCCCCCTAACCTTGCGTCTCAGCAGCAAAACAGTGAAAACCCAAGGGACAGTGTGCCCAGAAAGCCAAGAACAGACAGAGAGTAGTCAGCCCTAGCCTGGCAAGCTGCAAAGCCATCTGCAAGGGACCACGAGGGCAAGTGAAGAGCCAAGGTTTCCTCCTTAGCACGTACACCCTTCTCAGGCTCAAGGCTGGGTGTGGATTGGTGCAGAGTTTGGGGGTCTGGGTACCTGTGACTCACTAAGGAGGGCAAGGATGCTGTTATCCACAGGGCGGTGTGCAGGAAAATGTGTGTGTGGATGAGGAGAAAAGGGACGAACATCCCTTCCTTCCCCTTTACTGAGACTAGAGCTACTCTGGCCGAGCAGGAGTCACTAGGAAAGTATTTTGCACGCCTGCCATGGCTGAGTCACTGAGCGTGTGCGTGTGTGGGAGGAATGGACAGAAGCCACTGTCCAGCCAGGACAAACATGTTACAAATGGCAGGAGGTGCCATGTGCCAGAAAGAAGGACCGGGGCAGTGGTTGAGCTGGTGGGAAGGAGGGTGCCTGCAAGGAGGATCCTGCCAGATTGCCAATAGCATCCTGCCCTCCTTTTGCCACTGTTTGTACCTAGTGCCCAGGCCAGAAGGAAGACTCAGAGGGACCCTGGGAGACAGAGAAGATAAAATGCAAGGTTCCATCCTTGACAACAGCCATCCTATGGCTAGCAATGGGAAAGCAGAGCCTGTCAAGGGGGTAGGGCCATTCAAGGATGGGGCTGGGACATGGGATCTTGGCCTGCTCATCCCCTCTTCATCGTTACAAGGACAGCCAGAACCTGCCACCAACACATACCAGCTTGGTGGGACAACTCTGGGGAGGGCACGGGGAGAGAGCCGTGTCGAGGAGGGGGCAGCCTGCAGCTGGCACATGATGAGGAGCTCTGGAAAGGGGCTCCTGGCAAATTTCCATTTCCTGTTTACTGCTCTGGGAGCGGCAGCTCCGCTGTATGTGGTGTGCGAGGCAGATGTGCGCGAGAGACGAAGGCATGTCAATGCCTTGGAGTTAAACTGTTAAGCAGATGATGGGCTGCTTTGTTCCAAGTTTCAGTCCAAGCACGAGGTTTGCTAACCTTGCCAGAAACGTCTCCACCAGTGTTCAGGGCCCTTTGGAAGTTATGTTTCATATTTACTGTTTGGCTTAGGCATATAGAAGCTTCTCGCTTGCAAACAACGGCTTTTGGTCACGACGCTTTGACGGCTTTCCTCAAGATTTTAAGTCAAGGATGGCTGTTGCAGGAGATTGCTGAACTTCTTGGGGGGGGCTGGGAGTGTCTGAATCTTCATGCTGGGGGTTTCAGGTGGAGCAGTGCCTCTTGTAAAGATGCACATCTTGCAGCATGTGTTGCTGGCTCATCTCAGTGCACGAGGACTTAGTTTTAAGGCCCTGACCTGTCCAGCTCATCATATGGGCATTAGCAAACAAAAAGGGAGAGTGTCAGCAGTGAGGGGGAATGCTACTGAGCACATCGTCCCATGCCCTTACTGTGTGAAATGTCCTCCAGCTGCATTTTCTTGGAAATCTTGTTAACTTGGCAAGGACCAAGTCTATGTGAAGGCAAAGGCACACACTACCACACAGAGGCTATTATCAAAGTGGGCTGGTTCTCTCTAGTAATTTGCTTTTTTGGATTAAAAATGTGCTGAGACACAACGCCCAGTGTCAGGCAATCCCATCCTGGGGGAAGGCTTCATCTTGGCTCCGAGGTAGCCATGTTATCCGAGGTGAACTCCTCTCTTTCTCCCCATGCCACTGAGAGATTCTTGCCAAACGTCTATGACCTGAATCTGTTTGAAGAGCCTGCTTGTTTGGATGACTGAATTTGTCACATGCGCTACTGGTGCTGCATTATTGCATGCAAGACCCTTACCCATCTCTTTGAGTTTCTTACCTCTTCTGTGTGTGTTTTCAGGGAGAACCTGGACCACCGGGAGACCAGGGGCGGGAAGGACCCCTCGGGCCACCTGGAGAGTCGGTGAGTGTGTGGATAAACCTTCTGAATCACAGCTAGTAATGGCTGGGGCTGGGGAGACTGGGGTTGAGGGCCAGCTGATGGCACAGCATCTAGGGGGAAGGTTCTCAACATCTTCCAGACTGGGAAATGGAGCCAGTGCAAATGGGTAGGAATTTCTAGGAGAACCTAGAACATGAACATGGCTATAATATAGAGGGTTGGCTGGTGGACTGGAGACGGAGAAACCTCCACGTCATTTCCCAGTCCTCATAGAAACAGATGCCAACAATCTGACAGGCAGATTTGGAAACTGGCAAGTGTGAGCTGCAGCAATACACAAAATTTTCAGGCCTCAGGCCAAACTTGGCTTGTTCTGGTCATAGGAGCCAATGGGACAAGTTTGTGTGAGTAAAGATGGCTTGACGGGGCCCTAAAAGTGTCTCTGACACCGTTGGCATCTGCAAATGATCCATCCCAAAGCCAACATTACTCAAGTATGCTCACTGAGAAGGCTGGCTCTCCCACTCTGGAGTCAGCTTGTCCTCACTTGCCTGGAGATCCCACTGGCTTTCTGGAGAGCAGAGTTGGCTACCTATAGCTTAAGAAAGGATTTTTTTTTTCCACAGTTAAAGGATCTTTCCTCCCAATGCTTTACTAGCTCTCAGTCAAAGCTTCCAAGCCCAGAGTTGCTGCTGGGATATAGGATATAGCGCTGGTTGCAATAACTAGTAGGGTCTTTCTACCCAAGAAAACCTGCTCTGATGTACCCCAGAGTCTGTCCAAGGGTGACAACACCTTTGACCTTTACAAAAAAAGAGCTGAAAACCATAGGAAAGTATTGCAATAAATGTTCCCATGCTGTTAGAGTAGGGCTTAGCTAAGCAATGAGATGTCAAAATCAGTATGTGAATAAAGATGAGACAGCTTTTAAGCCTCCTATGGTGAAACAGAGTATCAAGGAGTCCTGAAGAAGATCTGGAGAATGACAACTGTGAAGGGGCCACTACTGTGTTGAAATCATCTGATGGAGTCTACCATCAACCCTGATGGAGGACTTGCCTCGCATAAAGTATGAGGACAGGCATGATGTGACAAGGTTTTTCTTGCCCACAGCTAAGCTGCCCTCAAGTCTGCTTTGTGCTAGCGAAGGACACCAGGCTAATTGTGGAGGATTCTCCAGCTCCTGCTGCCACTAGCTGAGCTAAGCTCCTGCTGCAACTGAAGAGCATCTGGCAGTATCTATTTTGTTCAGCACCACTGTAGTTTCCTCTGAACTTAGCCGTTTTCGGAGGTGGCACCGGTAGAGAGGCAATTCTTTGGCTATGTGTCCAGTGCAGCAGGTTGGCAACAGCAGAGGAGGAAGGACTAGAATTGATCTCTACATGGTAGAGATCAGCTCTGACTAGGGTCAAGAAAGGAAAAGTTATGTGTAGAAGAAGACAAAGTTTGGCTGAAGGTTTGATGCAAACTTGGAAGTAAAGTCTGTGTAAACGCACAGGGAACCAAAATGGGGCAGACCCTGCCTCCAGTCAATCTTCCTCAGTGGGGAGGAGGAGAAAAGGGACAGCTGCAGCAGGTCTCTATCCTGCCATGGAGCCTGCGTGGGCCACCAGTCTTCTCTTCCCAGGGATGCTGGATCTCAGTCAATCCCCTGTCGGAGAACAAACTGTTACAGCAGCAGCTCCAGTACCTTTCCAGACCAAAGGGCTGCCCTAGCGCCTCAGTTGTCAGGGAGATTTTAAAAGCAGTTGCAAAGCTAAGATTTTTTTTTCCATAAACTGAGGAAAAATGCTTTTGCTTGGCCAAATTAAAAATAAATGTGTAATTGGGCTTGGGCAAGGGGAAGACTTTGGCAAACGCAAGTATTTTTCAAGTCATGTTATCTGCAAACTCTGACTCATGGAGTGTATTTCTCTTGGCAAGGGCAAAAGGCTCCCACTAACCTGTGACTCCATTTCACCCTCTTTCTGCCTATGAGAGAAGCTAAAGGTCATTTTGCTCTTTCTTTGATCTCTCTAGCAGGTTTTGGTGGTCCCTGGCTGTAATGGTTGTACCTCCTGTGGTCTTTGTTGCACCCAGAGAGGAAGTGGGCAGGGAACTGCTAAAGATTTTCTTTTTGCAGTTCTACATTTTCACTAACTCCTATGCTAGTGAGACTATTTACAGACAGCGTGAGCCAAAGGTATCTTAGATTCAGCTTTGGCTGATGTGAGCGATCATGTGTTTCTACCCTCTCCTGTGCTCTCTCGTGTGGGAATAGTCACATGTCTTAAAACAGCCTAGAGCTCCACACGGCACTCTGTAAATTTAAAATGCTCTGCCCCCATCCATGTATGTTTGCTTGTAACAAGGTAGATGAAGTGACCAGGGATGTTTGGCAACTGCTTTTTCCATAGCAGTGTCATGTAAAGAGGAATAAAGCTGATGAAGAGGATTTTGGCTTCCTCAACTTCTGGGTGGCAAGAAAGAAGAGCAGCAAAGTTGGACAAGACTGAGCACCATGGTAAACAGCTCATACTCCCGGTGGGCACCATGGTAAATGGATCTGGCACAAGTTGCTGGTATCTCTCAGAACAGCATTGGAACTTTGAAGAAGAGGTAGACAAAAATTCTCAAAACAGTATGATTTCTATGTCCAGGTTATTCAGTTCCACCAAGGGCAGAAGGAATCTGATATTCATAGGAACTTCATAGGATTTTCAAATTATGACCAATTTTAGGGGTAGGCAGACCTCTCGGGCAGGATAGACGTACTGCATGTTGTACCTAGACCAGCTCTTGGTCAAGAACATGTTTGTCTCTTAAGCTGCTCCAAGACCCTTCCCAAGATTGGCCTTCCTAGATCTTCACAGATCCGAGCTCAGCTTCAGCCTGAACCTGAAACTGGACACCTCAACAGCCCCGCTGTGCTTTTAAGCACGGGTTACCCTAGGCCTCATGACTTCCTTGGTGCTGGTAGTCACAGCAAGGCTCCTCCTGCACAGCATCAGTACTGCCCACAGTACGGAGCCCACGTCAGGTCTCCCTTGCCCTACCACTTAGCAGGGTGCTCAACTGGAAGCCATGTTAGGCAGCCTCATAACAAGTCAGTTACAGCCCTGCTGCTCCTTGCAACAGCTCTTGGAGCTTCTTCTCACTTCTGTTAATCCCATCAATAGAGCAATGCCATCTGTTAATCCCCAATTTTGTCAAATCTGGCCAAAGCACAAGTGACTCACTGATGTGTGCAAGGCACAAGGTGGTTGCCCCACCCACCGTGTAATGACATGAAGGATCCTACTCTTCACTGCAGAAGAACCAGAGGAAACAAACCTGTGAGAGCTCTTTATATTTTTCTAGGGTGAGGCTGGACCTCCGGGACCCAAGGGGTACAGGGGAGATGACGGCCCCCGTGGAAATGAGGTCAGTGTTGTTTCTTCACACGGTCATCCTGGGGGGAGGGAACACAACATGGGAAGACCAGGAGATGCTGCTCACTAGGGCTGTCCCTGAGTACCACAGATCTTGGAAATGCTTTGTGTATGAAAACTCAGCTGCTAGTTTGCTGGTGGACATATCAAGGCATTTTTGTGGGCCCCTTAGGCCGGGCCACCTTTTGTCCAACAGCTAGAGACAATTTCTGAGAGAGGAAGTGGCCACACCGTAAGTGATGTGGCTTCACACCACAGTTTGCTTCTCATCTGGCAGAAGCTTATGGAATTACTCTCCAAGGGCATAAATGTCAACCGCCCAGAGAAGCTCAATTCCTAGCCCAGCTGTGGGCTTTGCATTGCTCTCGTGAGCAAAACATCTCCTGTTGTGATCTTGAAGGAGCTCGTAGGGGCACAGGGGCCTGCAGTTTACCCTGCCTGCTGCCCTTGAAAGAAAGCAGACTCCTTGTAAGCTCCCATTTGTGTTCTTCCAGAACAGTGGGACTGGTCTAAGGTAGGGTATGAGGGATCAGAGCACTGCTGGAAAACCAGCAGCAGGTAGTTGCCTCAAAGACATCATCTTCCCAGCTCACAGGACTTTGCAGAATGCTTCACTGCTGCTTCATCTCTTTTCAGGGCCCAAAGGGAGCACCTGGAGCACCTGGGTTGCCTGGGGATCCTGGCTTGATGGGAGAAAGAGTGAGTGTCCTTTTTCAGCCTCTTTTTTTTTTTTTTTTTTTCTTTTCTTGGATTGACATGCAATATGGAAAGGATCAGTGGTAGCTTGGCCCCACACAGCACTTCCCAGCTCATGAGGTACTTTCTAACTGCTTGCAATGGTGCTCAAACCACCAGTTGTATATTTTTCCAACAGTTTGTTGTGGTGATCAGCTGCCTGAGGAGCGCAGGATCTTGCTGCCATGCCGTCTAAGGGGTCCACTTTTCACATCTCGTGTTCCTTCCTTTCTAGGGGGAAGATGGCCCTCCCGGGAATGGCACAATTGGATTCCCAGGTGCCCCTGTAAGTTTTATATACCCCTTTGAAACCATAACATTATTATTTTTGCTTATCTGATCTAACATGCTTCATTTTCCTCATCCCCAGGGGCAGCCAGGAGACAGAGGTGGACCAGGCATTAATGTAAGTTTGTTGCGTTCTCTCATACTCAATGCAGATTGCCCTGTTTGATGTATTCTGGCTGGTGCTTTGGTGAAATGGTTTTCCCAATGCAGACTACTCCTCCAAAAGCAGTTGCACTCATAAGACCAACATTTGGGGTGGCAAGTGCTACCACTGAGTGGGAGCTGGACAGTGCCTATTGCAGGGAAAGTCCTGAAAGTATCTGTCTCTTTATAGCACTGTAATTTGGTGCTAAGCAGCCTGTGCATTTCACCAAGCCAGTTCTCTTGATGTCAGCGTGTGAGCCAACCTTATCATGCACTTTCCATGCAGAAGTCTCCTCTTCATCATTTTTCAGGGAACAAAGGGCTATGTTGGTCCTAAAGGTGATGAAGGAGAAGCCGGAGAGCCTGGCAATGACGTGAGTAATCTGTATAAAGCTGAATCATTTTTCTCCCTGAACATGGTGTGGAAGCTCTGGGCTGGATCTAGCATTATCTTGCTGGTGGGCCAAAGCCTGTCAGATTTTGTTGGATTACAAGCAACCTTGGCCACTGGGCAACATCTGATGACAAGGGTAGCTCTTTCCAGACATTCGATTTCCGCCCTGTGGCTTATGATTGGCACCTCCAGGTTGGTTGGATTGAAGTTTAGTAACATCTCCAGTACGGGCTTGAATGCTTCCAGGTTTTATACTACCTGTGCTGAGCCATTACGCTGGAGAAGGGAGACTTGTTCATCCCAAGCCAAAGTCCTACACTTTTTTTTTGTTGTTGTTCATTGGGCATAGCAAGCTCTGATAATGCTCTCATGACAACACTACTGTTAAGTAGGACTCAGCTGATGTCTGGAAGTGTAAAGTGTTGTACATTATTCTGACATGTACAAATCTGTGCTTTTTTCTTTGTTTGTTTTTTTTCTTAATTCAGAATCCAACGTCAGGTCCCAGGGGCAGCAAAGGTGCAAAGGGTCACAGGGGACCTGAAGGCCGTCCGGTAAGTAAAGACCCTGAAAGGATTTTGCACCAAAGAGCACGGCATACTAGCTGATACAGCTCCCAAGAGCAGAGCTCGCAGCAGACTTCCTCAGGGTGACCCCACGTACAGCAGTAGCAAGGCAGTTTGAAAAGTCACTGCTGTGGCCTAGTATATGGGTCTCTGAAATTAGCAGCAGATGTTTATGCAGAGCCAAGCAGAATTCCCTCTGAGGGAAATTCGTCTTCTCTGACATTCACGTTCATCCCAAATCAGAACAGCAAACACAAGTGTTTGTGCATTTTCCTGAACAAAACATTCTCAGATGACCGAGTTCAGCTATCATGTTTCAGCATTTTGGAGTGGCTATGAAGTAATTTCAGCTCATGCTGGGTCACTGATTGCTTGTGTTGCTCTGAATTTTCCTGGGAGTACGGGAGAGGCATCTCCAGAGTGAAATGCACCCATTGCCCCCAGGCATGGTGATGGCAAGGAAAGGGCGCATCTTGGCTCGCCCCAGCAGGACACATGATGTGTGTGTTTGCTGCCTGTCATGAGCGCTTGCCTCCCCACCGTGGGAGGCCCAGTACACGTGGTGGCAGGCCACTATCTCAGGGCAGTGTCCAAGCAAATGAACCTCAGCCGCTGGGGAGCTAAACGGTTTTTCCAGCCTAAGCTCTGCGTTGCCTACTGAGAGATAGGCAGAGCTCACTGGCTGCTTTTGTAAACACTCTCTTAATGCTTCTGTTTGACAGGGACCACCAGGACCCGTCGGGCCTCCAGGACCAGATGTGAGTGGGACAGGATCTGGACTCTGTTTGCTTCCTTGGTCTGCTCTTCCCCTGCACCACCCTGCAGCTCCTGAGCAGAGGGTTGCTGTTGGGAAGGCCTCATAATCATGGGCTTTTCAGAGGAATACAAAACCGATGGTGTCCCCTTATTACTGTCCCCATGAATCTCAGGGAGCAGATTTCTCTCCTTGATTGACGGTCCAGCAATAGCAAGTCTCTGGGCTAGATGATGGAAACATCTCTCATGTATGTAGAAAGGCTTTAGTATTCTTCCCAGCCTAGCCCTCCCATTTAAATTTAAGATGAATTTTATGACATTCGCCCAGCAGGGGAGGGGCATGAACCATGTATTGCCAAGATCAGGGTCTCCCCATGTTCTGGTGAACAAGCAGCTCCTAGTCTGCAGCAGCCAGCAGAGGCCCAGCAAGTTGGGTGTTAATCTGGGACCTTCCACACAGTCTCTTTGTGGCAGTCAGAGCAGTGGGTGCAGTTCATTGCCAACAAATCCTAGTCTTCACTTGCTCCAAGATGAGCAACACATCACTTATTTCCAGATGAAGGTGTGTTTTGAGGGCACATGGCAGCAGCTGGGCTGGTGAGCATCAGAGGCACTTGGGTAAATGGGAACCAGATAGCCTGTTAGTCAAGGTTCTTCTCTGTTTTCAGGAATGTGAAATTTTGGACATCATCATGAAGATGTGCTGTGAGTATCCCTGTGTCACTTCTCCAGCTTTTTGGCCCTGTTTAGGTCCTTGTCAAGAGGGAGGTGGCTGCTTTGCTCAGGTCTGTATCAGGCAGAGGAGCCCAGCAAGCACTCTGCATCCTCATGAGAGATAAGCAGTAAAGCCATGCTCTCCTCTGCTAGCCAGAGTGTTGCAGGGCTTGGCTTAGTGGTGCAGGTCTTTCCAGCAAGCCAGACAGTCCCCAGGCAGCACGGAGAGTGATGCTCACCAGCTGGGACAGGGGACATGGCTCCCTTTCAGTGAATAACCTGCTGGGAGCTGTGGCAGGGAGCTCAGCAATGGCAGGGTTGGTGCACTGGAGAGCAATCAAGCCAAAGCGCTGGGAGGAAAAAAGGGTGAAAGTCCTCCCTGCAGCTGGGAATGTAGGACAGAGAGAGGAAAAAAAAAAAAAAAAAGTGAGTCCCGTGTGTATTGCTATCCATTCTCCAAGCCCTGGGACTTCCAGAGATTCCAAGCTTGATTTCTAAAGCCAGTTGCACAACAGCATGTGTGTGTGCTGCAGATCAGTTTGCCCTGCCTGTGCTGGTCCCATGCCTGCTGCCCTGTGTGTATAAAGTAACCCTTCACCAAAACTGCCAGCAACATTGCATGCAAATCCATGTGTGGACCATTTTATAGCGATTTTTCAAGAGCAAGACCTGACTCTTCCCCCTTGGAAAAGAGAAATCTGCTTTCAGACTGTGACTGATATCGCTCAGAGTGTCCTGACCATAACGGAACAGAAGTAAACACACTTTGCAAAAGATTTTAGGCCCCACGCCAGTAATGAAGTGCTGGAGTAGCACATAGTGCTTAGCGAGTATAGTTTGTGCTCCATAGTTTGATGATTTACTTAATCCTTCCAGAATTAGCCTGTATTTATATTTGAAAGGGAAACATCCTTGTGTTGAGAATCAGCTGTGCCACATACAGCGTTTCAGGTCGCAGCAGCACAGTCTGAAGCAGGAGAGAGCTGGATATTTCAAACAGGAGGGAAACCTCCGTGAGCAAGCAAGAATTTGAAATGTCCAGATAAATTGTCTTAGATTTGCAGAAACACAGACTTGCTGTCTAGTTAGTGTATGCAAAACAGCTATATCCAGTGTTTTAATGTTCTCTCTCTCTGTCTCTTCTCCTCTAGCTTGCTGCGGTGAGTATTACTTGGTTAAGTCTTCTATAAACATGTTCTTGCTCCCTTTCCCTGCTCTTTTACTTGTACCATAAATATGTGATGAGAGTACAGGAGTGAGGACCAACCATAAGCAAAGTAAGGGAAGGTTGCAAGCTCTCTGGGAGGGCACACAGGCTGCTGTGGCTCAGTCCCAAACCACAGAAAATTGTTGTCAAGGTGCCCCATGCCAGCAAAGCTACAGGCAAATTTCCCTAAATGTTATTGTAAATGAAAGGAACATCACTTTAGTAAATGCTATGGATCCAGCACTGTTTCCTTCTCACAAAATCTTGCTCCCATCTGCAGAGAAAGTTACGACGTTTGTTTCTGCAGAGCTGTCTAGATAGGTTGGGTTGGCAATCCATAGGCCTGGAGCAAGGGCCAAGGATGCATGATGTCCATCAGTCATGGAAAAGAGTGGAACAAGCTGAGTCAGCCTCCTCAAGCCCACCTGCATCACCTCTGTCCTCCTGGACTGGGTGAATGGCAGAAGTGAGGAGGCTTCTAAGGAAATGTTTCCACAATAGGTTACTAGGTGTTTTATGGCTACTGACATCTTAAAAATATCTTAAAAGGGACACTGAGAAAGCTCTGAGTAGAAAACTTAGCAAACTGATCAAATGGAACAAACTTGCATCTCCCATGCTTCTATTCTGCAGTTTCATTTTGTATCATGCTCTGTGGGTCTATAGCGCACAGGGCATCTAGTCTGTCACCCTTGTTTTCTGGGCTATGCTTCTTGGCCAAATATACTGCTCTGGCAGAGCTGTTGAGACAAAGAACATAAACCTCTGCTCCTGTGCTTTGCTGCAGAGTGCACGTGTGGCCCTGTTGACCTCCTCTTCGTGTTGGACAGTTCAGAGAGTATCGGTCTGCAGAACTTCCAGATTGCCAAGGATTTCATCATTAAGGTCATTGATCGGCTAAGCAAGGATGAGCGTGTGAAGGTGAGATATGCCACATGTGTGTGAGAGATGCTCATGTACTCACAGTTATTTCTCCCTGCAAGCAAAGAGACAGGGAGATGACTCCACAAGACTTAACTTCAAGTGTGTAAGATGGGCCTTTATTCCTTTCAGACTCATAGAGCAGCAGAGATGAGACAGTGAAGTCTGTTGTTCCAAAATACAGACATTTCCCTTTTCTGGGCAAAGGAACTCTGTCTGTTATGGCTGTAACCTCTTCCTCTGTGTCCTAGAAAATAAGAGTTTATAGGGGACTGTGTTCTCCTAATCCATCAGTCAGTCTCTTGAACTCTTAGTTGTTATTTTGGGAGGCTGCAGGAGATCACACATGAGATGTGTTGCAATTTCCCAGAGTATGCCAATTACCAGCTCCTTAGGCACCCTCTGCATGCTCCCAAATTTGGATGTAGGTAGTCAGTTAAACACACTACTAATGATCCTTGCTAACCAAACAGCAGTATTCTCTTAACAGTAAGTCTTTCAGTCTGAAGAGGAACAAAAATGTTTACTCTCCTTACCCTTCCCTGTGACCTGCTAAGCATGGGAAATTCCACCAACTCCCATGCTTTGCAAGGAAGGGTTGAGATCCAGTTTTTCCTTCAGGTAAAATCAGACATATCTATAGCACACAAGGAATGTAAAGCTGTGAAGACCTATCTCCAGATACATCTGTAGGCATACATGGGTCTCCTTGGCTGGCAGAGTGTCTTGTACTGAGACCACTGATCTGCGAAACCTGGATTGAGGTCTTGTTCCAATACCCCTGAGACACCATGTCCATTCTCCTTTGTATCTGTTCTATTCCTCTGCTCTGAATAATACTCCCAAGGAGAGGCAGCAAAGCTTGTCAGTTAAGGCATTCAGCATGGGAGATGCAAAATAAACCTTGAGCAATTTTTCTGAGCTCTCTGGGGCCCTTCTGGCCAGTTATCTGGCTTTAATTGATTTCTGTTTCTTCAACAGTTTGAACCTGGTGAGTCACGCGTGGGAGTCGTGCAGTACAGCCATGACAACACACAGGAGCTTGTGGCCATGGGGGATGCCAACATAGACAACATTGGGGCACTCAAACAGTAAGTCTACACACTGTTCAGAGACCCAAGCAAGGGCCTCCCTACTCACAGCTCAGCTTCCACCTCTGAACCAGTGGCTCCTGCAGGTAGTAAAGATGCTAAATACTCCGTAAGGGAAAGCAGTGACTGCTATTATGTCAGTCAGATGTACACTGGCAGTACCAGGCCTATCCTCTATTTCCCCACTCTGGGTTGTCTCCAACAGGCAGTATAAGCTTGTCACTTGAGTACTACAAACACGGTCCCTACAGATTTGTCTCCTCTCAGCTTCACAGACACAGAGATTGTACCAAAAGCTCATCTCCTTGGTTTACTGGCACTCGGGCATGGGCAGAGTTCAGGCTTTGACATCTGCCTCCAGCTTTCCCCTCACTGTCCTTCAGTCTAGGAAAGGGCTGCCTTGCCAGGCCATAGGTTCCAGCTCCCCTGGAGCATTCCTGGCCACAAGTCACTTACAAGAGCAGCCACATCTTTGGCTAGCAGCTTTGTAGGTGGTGCTGATGCCAAGGAACTTGCCAATTGCCTTCCCAAAGCCCTGAGCAGGTGAGATGCTGCCTTGCCTTGAAAATATGTTGGTGGACTATGTGTTACCAGACATTTCAGAGATGTATGTGGGGCAGGACTTCCAGACTCCCTGCTGCCTGTACTTGCAGGGCAGTCAAGAACCTGAAATGGATAGCCGGTGGCACCTACACTGGAGAGGCTCTGCAGTTCACCAAGGAGAACTTGGTGCGGAGATTCACGTCTGACAAGCGTGTTGCCATTGTCATCACAGACGGACGCTCTGACACTCTGCGGGACCCTACACCACTCTCTTCCCTGTGCGATGTCACCCCGGTAAGAGCATGGGAGCCTAGGCAGACTGGTAGTGTGGAGAAGCGCCCTGACTGACTGCAAGAAGCACCATGTATCAGAGTAGTGCAAACTCCCTGTGTGTCTCCACATCTTTGCTCTCTAAGGCCAGGGCAGGGAGGAATACATGTGTTCTCATGGAGAGGGACAGACCATGCCTGTTTGCTGTTGAACATAGTCATGCTGTGCCCCTCTCACCTGGCACATCTGCCTATTTGAAAGGACCTGGTGCTTCTAAGCAGTCCAAGCAATGAGCAGGCATATCTATGGATGCGTTTGTTACACACCAGTAATGGACTTTAACTTTCCTGCAGGTGGTTTCCCTTGGGATAGGTGACATTTTCCGGAATCCCCCAAATCCAGATCACCTGAATGACATTGCTTGTTTAAGCAGACCCACCAGACCAGGACTGTCTATTCAGAGGGACAACTATGCTGAGCTCCTGGATGACACCTTCTTGCAGAATATCACCTCATACGTCTGCCAAGGTGGGTGAAAGCCCTGCGTGAGGACAAGTGGAAGCTATGGGATGCCCTGGCCTCAGACTGGTCTTGCTCACCACCCCTGTCAAATTGTAGAAGCCCCAGGGATCTGACTGAAGGCGATAAGAAACATAACAAGTGACATTCTCTTTTTTTTTTTTTTTTAAATCTTTTTAACAGAGAAGAAATGTCCAGACTACACCTGCCCAAGTGAGTATTCACTTTGCATGCCGTAAAACAAGGATTATGGATGTGGTAGTAGGGGCAAGGGACATCTGTATCTGTAAGAATGTAGAGCTGGGAGACCTTTGGCAAGGGTATAAGCAAGAAGAAGGCTCCTGTGCCCTGCTTCTGGCCTTAGATATACAACATGGGGATCTGGGCTGGAAGAGTAGATCTGGTCAAACTCAGACACTTATAACAGGCTGAGTGCATAGACATCGGCTCAAAGCACTTGGGGGCCTGGGCTAAGAAAAGCCTGAACTTTGCTTTTCTGGTACCTCCTAAAGGAAGGCTTTGCCAGACTTAGTCCTGACTCATGGATTTTCACTGAGTCAAGCAGCAAAAAATCTGTCACTACGTGGTAGTTAGAGCACTGAGTCAAGAACACATTGGGAAAGGAAAAACAAGAAAATCAATTTGAGAAAGTGGGTTGAAAAGCCACTACAAGGAGGAGTTTAGTCAGATACATCTTAAAGGCAGAAGTAAAGCAAATGCAAACCTTAGATTCATCACGGAAACAAGTCTGCCCGGGAAATGAATTGGTATCCCAGACAAGAAGGAGCAGTGCAACTCAAGGGAGTGGGGGAAGTGTGACAAGTAACAATTGTCATTAGATGAATTAAGACAAATAGGTAAGGGAGTGCAGCCCTGCACTGACCAATAAAAGAAAGAATGGAAGAATAGAAGCGTAGACTAGTGTTAGGATAGGGGAAACTGGGGCAGTAAATAGCCAAAGACTGGAGATTTTGTAAGTATGCCAGAACAGGAAGTCTGTGAGGCAATTAGTGACTTCAGGGGCCTTCCACATGAAAAGACCCAGGGAAACAGCATGACAACCGTCTCTCCTTGCAGTCACCTTTGCTGGGCCAGCAGACATCACCCTCCTGGTGGATAGCTCCACCAGCGTCGGGAGCAAGAACTTTGAGACCACCAAGAAGTTTGTGAAGCGGCTGGCAGAACGGTTCCTGGAGGCAGGCAAGCCCGCCGACGACTCTGTGCGCGTCTCAGTGGTCCAGTACAGTGGCAGGAACCAGCAGAAGGTAGAAGCACAGTTTCAGTACAACTACACAGTCATTGCCAAAGCCATTGACAAGATGGAGTTCATTAATGATGCCACAGATGTCAATGCTGCTCTGCGGTATGTCATGGGGCTGTACCAGAGGTCCTCCCGTGGAGGGGCGAAGAAGAGGGTGCTGGTGTTTTCTGATGGCAACTCTCAGGGAATCACCACGAGGGCCATTGAGAGGGCTGTGCAGGAAGCTCAGCAGGCTGGCATTGAAATCTATGTGTTGGCAGTGGGCAGCCAAGTCAATGAGCCCAACATCCGTGTCCTGGTCACGGGGAAGAGCGCGGACTATGACGTGGTCTATGGGGAGCGCCACCTCTTCCGTGTGCCCGACTATACCTCTCTGCTGCGTGGTGTCTTCTACCAAACTGTCTCCAGGAAAATAGCTGTTGACTGAGCAGCTAGGTGGGTTTCTACCAGAGCTGTGCCTGCTTCCATCTTCCCTAAAAATGAAAAACAAGCCCCAAAAAAACAGTATTCTTGATCAACCTGAGGAACTTGTGTCTACACAGATAGCCATAGTGCCACAGTCTGTCTGTGCACAATCCTCTTTCCTTTGTTCCCCCAGCTTTTTCCTCTGTGCCTCTACCCTCTTGGCCCCCAAACCTATGACTTCCTTCCCTCCTCCCCTCCTGCCCCCAGCAGGCAAACACAAGAACACCTAGCAATAAAGCCTCCAGAACAACAGAAACAATCCACCAGTTTTGCCAAGAAAGAATCAGGATGAGGAATTTCATACCACTAAAGTACTTGCCTGGTCTTGCAAGGTTGATTATGCTCTTTTCAGATACCGTTTTTCATTTCCTCAAACTTCAGCTGAGCACTTGCCTGGCTCACAACGGTCCTAACCCAATACTGTGCTTCAAGTGAAACTTCTGGCACTTCAGCAAGCTTTGAGAGGGGATCGTTGTCTCGACTGGCAAGTTTGAGTCGGATCTGGCACGCTGATGAGGGAGAATCGGACTTCATCACCCAAACCAGCTGCGTGCTAGACATGGATGGAAAGCCTTGTAGGTCTTCAGTGCTGTGGGATTGGGCACTGACTTCCCAGGGATGGGGTAGAAGTGGGTGGTGGAGCATACTGCATTGCTGATGCTCCTTTCTGGAGCAGAAGGGCTGGGCACTGACCGAAGGGCAGGCAGAATAGCCTTTGGAGGTGGGGAAAACAAGGGAAGAAGCTATGTAACTGCACTCCTTCACAAAAGTAATCTCATGGTCCTATAGTGAAACCAGGAACCTCACAAATGACCTGATGACTCTTTATGGTCCAAACTCCATTTTTGGAAAACCTTTCTGAGCCCAGCTAGTGGATTTTTTTTTCTCTAAAAGCACCAAGCTGTCTCATTCCCAGTGTGTTCTGTGGGCAAATAGAGTCCACAGGACCATCAAGGAATTAGGCTCCTGGTCCCTAGGGATATGCACTAACTGTACTATATATATTGAATTAGGGCCTAATCAGCAGTTCAGCCAAGTCAAGGAAAAGACAGCCATTCTCTACCAGGGAGAGACTCCCACTCTCCAGATATACTGATAAAGGTGCTATCACTACATGGGTGAAGTGGGCCCTTGGTGTTTACACGGTTATTTCCAAGACCGCACTAAATGCGTGATTTGGCTGGGCAAGATTTTGTTCAGTGCTTCCAGTGGTGCTCTTGCTGCGAATCAATGTGCTTCTAAGAAAACAACAGTGATTACCAGGTATCAACATCCAAACTCTTTACTCTGTATCCAAAAATCCAACTTAGTTTTATTTTATGCCTATGTTTTGCTAAAATTGTCAATTTCAGATATTTGACAAATAAATTGTTTTCCACAGTCTTGGTGGAACTTTGTCTGTCTTGAATAGGAGAAGCCCAGAAAGCTTTAAAATCTGTGCAGTGAAATACAGACCGCTGGAATCCAGAAGAACTTCAGCAGGCCTTCATATATTTAAAAAAAAAAAAAAAAAAAGTAAATCCCTTTTTTTCCATCACAAAGCTATTAGTCATTATTGAATGCTGTGGATTTAAGTAATCTAGCCAATGGTGCATTAAAAAACTAGATGCAAAGAACAGAGGGCTCGTAAGATAGGAAATGTTTTATAGCTTTTGCTTTCCTTCCAGTTACAATGTGGTCCCTGATCTTTCCCTGATCTTTCACAGTATGGCCTTTATGCAATTATACACAGTTGTTTCTAGAAACCAAACCACATTCAGTCCCGATCTCCAGGTGAAGAATATTTGCTTTCTGCTGATATTCAGTGTCTGGGCTTAGTACCTCATTTCCTGGGTAGCCACGGACCCTGCTCTGGAGACAGAGCTGGTGGTGAAGATAATCAAATTCTTCATCCACCTTTGTGAGCCTGAGCACTCTCCAAACATTTGTGTTTTTTCTCCTCCCAGCAGCACATCAGATGCAGAACTACTCCTTTTACAGCTGGGCAATGCTTGCTTTCCCACACACAGGCCCACATTTGTGTCATGTCTTGGTAGCAGAAAGACATTACCTTGCTGCTGCTTTTTGTCATACCCTCTCCTTAGTCAGTCTCTCCCAGGTCAGGCATCTCCATTGAGAACTATCAGTTCCTGGCAAGTTCTACAATGCCAGGGCCATTTTACAGCTGGGAGCTCTGAGGAACACTTCTTCAGAGGCTGTACAAGTGGCTGCAGCTTGCATGCTGTCCTCTCACCAGAGGACAGATCACTGTCAGATGTCCCACTACCCTCTCAATAGAAAGTTAGGAAAAAATGCCTTCATGTCTGTATGTAATAGAGACTGCTGTTGTTCCAGCTCAAGAAATATTTCCTAACGGGCCACCACAATCGTCTGTGTGAGTCATCCATTAGGGAAAGAAACCAGCTACAGACAAGCCACTGGGTTACACACCTACTGCTAGCCGGCCAGGTGCTGGCCTGGTGGTATCTCCAGGCAGTCATGGGCTTTGCTAGCCAGGCTGGAGGGTTGCTAGTCACCAGGAAACCTTGCATTTGCACAGCACCTGCTCTCCTTGGCTCACCGTGAAGAGGTGAGCAGGCAGGGACCAGAGCCAAGTGCATGAGCAGAGTGACACTTATGAGCAGCAAAGACAAGGAATGGAAAAGCAGCCAGCTTGCTTAGTGTCTGCCCCAGTCAGGAGCAGCAGAGGAGGGAGAGCCAGAGTGGAAAGCATCAGCTCTGCCCAGCTGCACGCGTTGCTTTGTCTCAGGGTGATGCTGGAAGCGGCTGCATCTGGAGCGTAGATCTGAAACTGGATTTTGGCTCTCCAGAAATCAGGAGGGGAGAGTCAAGGGCTGGGAGGACAGCGCATCACCCATATGAACTGACAAAGCCATGCAGGGAGGTCCCTGGGTGCCTCTCCCAGATTTGGCTCCTCCTGCAGCCACTCACCTCTTTAGGGAGGCAGGAGCAGCTGGGTGCTCCCAGGTGGAGACAGCTGCTGCCCTAGGCATGAGCATCACCCCCAGGCCTCTCTAAAGGAGAGCTCCTTCTGCTTCCAGTTGGAGCCCTTCCTTTCTGTCTTCCAGCACACAATGCTGTGAGGATGAAGAAAATGATCCCTGTGAGACTTGCTTGCAAGGGCAGCCTGCCTTGGGCTGGAGCTTTGCTGGCTGCACCCAGGCAGTGCTGAGTGCTTTGTCCGGGGCTTTCTCCAAAGGCTGCTAAGGGAGCAGGGCTGGAGCTGCTGCAGCAAAGCTTCCTCTTGAAAGAAAAGCTGCGCTAGCACAAATGGCTGAGGGGGCCAGCTGCAGGGGAAATGTACGCGTCCTTCCTCAGGGATGAAGACCCGCAGAGGCAGCCAGGGCGAGTGGGAGAAAGCAGCCCTTCGTGATGCAGTAATTTCCTCTTGCGCCAGTACGGGGAGGCGGTTTGGAAAGGTCTGACACCCCGGGCTTCTTCCTGGAGATGTTGGCCTGTCTTGGTCCCCTTTTCTGTAATAGAAACCAAATGTTCTTTGTTTCTCCCTTCCTCCAGCCTCAGCCGCTTTGCTCTCAGACTGCTCCTTTGCTGAGTCACCATCAGCTGCGAGCAGGGGGGACCGGGGGCTGCCTGCACCCGTGACAAGCAGAGAGCTGCTTAATGTCTCCCTGAGGACTTTTATTTATGGATTTTATGGATTTTTATTTATTTATTTTCCCACTGAGACCTACCCCCCTCTTCCCCAGGGGACCATGCGTTATCCAGGCCGACGTGCTGAGCGTGCATGCAGAAGCCACCCAGTGACACTAGGAAAGCTATTCCCTCTTTTTCCTTGGTTTTGCACGTAAAATACCTGTGTTTGCTGCAAAAATGCTTGGAAGAGAGGAAAAAATGGTTGTTTTGCTTCTAGCTATGGATTGTGCCCCCCCAGAGAAAAAAGAGGGAAGATAAAAGGCACCTAGAAAAAAGCGCGGAAAGTTTTCTCTTACATTTGGTTGGGTTGCAACTTTTTTTTTCTGCTTTAACCTAAAAATGTGGGTGAAAGGAAGGATTTTTCCTGCTTCCATGCATCTTTTTTTTTTTAATCTAACCATGTCCTTGATTTTTTTTTCCCTCTTACTGAAATGCTGAAAGAATCCAAACTCGGCAAAAACTGTGCAGTGTTTTAAGTGTTCCTCGGTTTCCACCTGAGAAAAAAGTCAAAATATTCCCTTAAAACTCCAGTTTGTCCAGAAGAAACAGCATCTAAAAGAGCCCATGTTTCATCAGGTCCTTTCTCAGGAAAACAGGGACCAGCAGGGACTTTTCAGTGGTATTTGATGCTTTGTTTTTACATACATTGCTTGCCTCTCCCCACATTTGTGCACTGTCCAGGCAGGATCACAGGAGTCACTGCCGAGTGGCTGGGCCAAAGTCAACCCCTATATGCTGGGCCTGTTTTGTCTTCCATTTCTAGCTATATTTGCTCCTGTTGTTTCAGTCTCGATCTTTATGCTTCCATTACAGGGAGGGTCAAAAATGTCTCTGCCTGCGGGTCTGCTTTGTTAAACTTCAGATGCTCTCCAGATGTTCGGCAAGGGGATTTATGTAACAATGACAGGATTTGGGCCATATTTCTGTGTTTTCCTCTGACTCAAATCTCCTCTTTTGAGGCTGTACTGATTCACAGCCATTCCCAGGAAGACGATAGCTAGGGAAGGTGAGTGCCACTCATGCTGCCCTGCTGGTGTGGTGGGACTCCTTGAACCCTATGAGCAATGCAAAAAAATAATAATGCAAAAGGCTGGTGCAGCACTGTAAGACTAAAGTCCTAATGGACAGAGCAAAGTGACATAAGAGAATTGGTCTGGAGAGCAAGAGGGAAATATCTTGCCCAATTTGCTTGTGCAAATGAGAATATTGGGCTGCTTGCACTTTGGAAGCCCCAAGTTGCTGAGCTACTTCAGCCTGCTGGCACTGTTGGTCTCTGCCCAGACCTCCTCAGCTCTGTGGCTTTACCCCTAGGGCAGGTCTTTTAATCATTTGAATCCCCCGGGGTCATTGCTTCTCCAGGAACATCAGGTA